AATTGTCTTGGATGTGGTGTCAGCTTAATATGTTCTTTAAGATCGTCCTTAAGCCCGGTTTGGGCTGGTGTTTTCGTGCTGCAATCCAAGCGCTCTTTTTAAGAATGACCCGACAAAAATCCCGCTTGTTCTGCAGCTGAGGTCGGCAATCCTGTGACAGAAAAGTCCACAATGAGGTACGAACGGAGTGGCGCCCGAATCTTTCGACAAGGTCGAGAAAGCTGGCTAGAAACCCAGCATTGCTAGCTCTAGAATTTGTGAAAGATTGCAAAGGAAAGATGGAAGCAGGCTGAAGCAGGATGCGCACATTTGTGTAAGTGTGTTCCCCATCAAATTCTCTTGGTTGCCAAGAGTATCAATGTGGTTTATTGGGGTGTCCTTTGGCGCTATGAGCCACACCCACGATGTTGGCTCCTGATCGTTTCCGGATGCAGGCTTGAAGCTCTTCATTTGGAGACCCGAAGCCAAAGTGTGAGGCCGCGGGGGCATGGGGAGCCAAAACAACTATCGGCGATACCTGTATCATTGAGATTAGTTGACAACATTCATGGCATGTTGCGGTGATGTTTGTGCGAGACGTGAAACGTGAAAAGACCGGATCCCCACGTGGCGGCTCGAAGGGTCGCCGACCGTGTCATCCGACCGTGCTCGATGGACTGGCCCGATTGACCGTGCTCGTGTAACGAAGGCACTCACAGATCCTGGAAGAGCAGCTGGAAATGATGAGACAGGCAGTGGAGGACAGGAACTAGAACACCATCTCGGAGTAAGAACACACCAGGACTGGAACACCCCCTGAAGGACTGCGTACTGTAGACTGATGCTTGATGCTGGGGGTGTTTCCTCCCCGTTTGTAATTACTCTATATTGGTGCGGTCTGTGGGTCTCTTCAAAGTTTTTTCAAACCCCCAGAATTCATTAGCCAAGGAAGGGAGCCTGTGAACGACTGGGTGTGAACGAGGAATTCTGCGATGCTCCCGTTGAGGGACGTTGCGTCCTAAGGGCGAGACCCGAACCATTGGGGATGCGTCGTGGTGCAAAAGTCGATGCTTCGAGCGTCAAGTCCATGGAATCCAAGCGGAGTTGTTTTATTTGCTTCTTTGAAGGACTGCCACCTGGAAAGTCACTTGGCTGGATGGATTAATGATTAAGGTCTTTAAGTGCTGCTGCAAAAAGGCTGTACTGACAGGTGTAGAAAAGAAATGAAAAGCCTCAGAAGGAGACTGCCGATTCAGGCTGATATTTGTTTTTTCCTTTGGTTCAGGCGGCATTCGTGTCCTTCTCCGCCTGTTGATGAGAACAGTAGCTGGCTGTTTCTTTTTTCAAGACACCGCCATTGCAAATGCTGCAGGTGGCCAGATTCCATGTTTATGATCAATGGTACCTGCATGAGCTCCATTTCAAGACCGCACACAATGAGAATCCATCCCAGAACGCAAAGGGAGACCCGCTCACTTGAGATGGAAAGATTTCGCAAGGTCAGTGCAAGATCAAGGAATTGCAGCAGACCTCGGCAATGCATGGAGAGGTGCCACGATCATTGAGTCAAGTGAGTGGCTGGTGATGGACAGGAGGTTCTTTGTATCAAGCATTACAAAGTGTATTACAAATATGGATGTGTCTATGAATGAGTTATTCGAGCCCTCCTCGACTCGACACTAGCAGATGGTTGTTGAACCTTTTTGACTCGCACTGTCTATGGATGTCCTAATGTTATGCAGCACTATCGATGCCAGATTTTCTCACATGTATGTCGCCTTGGCAGGTCATCGGAAGACTGCAAAGTTCAGTCGAGGCAAGCTGTTTTAGAGAAAAAAACCTGTGAGGTCATGAGTCTTCAACTTGTCTCTTGGCTGTTGAATCAAACATACATGTACTGTATCATTTTTTTGAATAAGACATCCTCCACAATCTTTTGCTGTGGGCACGAATCAAGAACCTGGGTGAGGTACTTAATCAAAAGCTAGATCAGCTTTGTGGGTTGCTGGAACCAGTGACTTGGAAAGCTGTGAGCCGGACATGGGAAGAAGGGCGGACGTAGGAAGTTGGAAGAGAGATTGCTGAAGCGTTGGAACAGACTTGAAGAGTAAAAGACCTTGTCCTCGGTAGGCAAAGGATACCAAACCTGGATCAGACAATAGTTGTTCAAACTGCCGTTCAATTCGAGTCTCAGCATGCTCAAGACGGCTCCAAAACGGTGCCCCCAGAGTTCTAGGAAGCGTGTAGGAAGCGTGTCACTTGCAACATACCACTCACATGGCCAGCCTGGCCAGCCAGGCCAGCCAGGCCGACTTTGACAGGTCTCAACCCCTAAAGCTTGGGTGAGGATGTTTTGCTAATAATTAATAGCAAAAGGAAAGTGATAGCAATGGCATCCAACCTAAGAGCGATGGCCTCCAACCTACTAGCGATGGCCTCCAACCTACTAGCGATGGCCTCCACACCTGCACACCAAGACTTTTTCTATGACCTCAAGGCACGAACTGTGCGAAACAGGGTGAAACATGGTGAAACATGGTGAAACCCGAGCGTCTTTGCGTCCTGCATCCGTCTTGCGTGCCCGGCGTGCCCTCTGTGAGATTCGGCTATGTTCTTCCTGGTGCCTAAGGGAAACATGATTCGGCCTTTCTTTCAGGGGTCCCAGAAATCTTTAAGATATCAAGATGATGTTGCTTCCCTTCTTGCACATGTGCGCGATCTCAGAGGATGACTCGTGGAACCAATCTATACATGTCGGCTTACTTTTCAGTCAAAGCATGTTTGGCGGATAGTTGGTGTGTCAAAACCTCTCCCCACCAAACAATGGTCATCCCTAAAGTGATCAGTTCATGTGACCCGGGGTCAACTACCGTTCCGGCCGACCCCCTCCCGGTTCAACACCCCCTGAGGTGCCGCCCAGGCCGATGCAGCCTGAGCTGCTGGGCGAAAACAAACCGATGTTCGGGGGAAGGCCGTATGCCGGACCGGGGAAGCCACAGCGAAACAGCAAAAGAAACAATGCAGTCGGACTGCTCGGATTTCGCCTGCGGTTCTTGGTTCAAGATTTCGAGGGCATGTAAGAAGGCATGGCTGGTTAGGTTAGTGGAACAAACATGTGTTTGGCAGCACAAGAATCAGGTGCACCAGCCTGTGGAACCATCAGGAAGGTTAAACCAGGAATGGTGAGAATTAGATTCCCGTATCATGCACAAGAGAGGGGGGGCAAATACACGGGCGAACACACCTTGTGGTACACTGGCTAATTTCAGGAATGCAAGAACCCAGGAAGGTTCAGAGGGACTGGGGGTCCCTACAAAGATTATGTCAAATCAGAACATATGATATACAGTATATATGGTATATGGGTCCGAGAGGGGACCGCAGGCATACACGAGAAGAGAGAGAGAGAGAGAGAGAGAAATCACCACAGGACTCACTGCCCATCCCGATCGGACCGTTGGGGGTTGCGAGAAAGAAAAAAAGCTTCAGTTGTCTTCTTGTTATTACTAGTGTGGCACTTGTTCCTAGTAGCGTGGCACTTGTTCCTAGTAGCGAACCACCTGTTACTACTAGTAAGGCACCTGTTACTACTAGCGAGGCACGGCGATCAACACCCACCGATCTAAGGAATCGTGCAAACTACACACGCTGATGGACATGTCATGTCCTCGTCAGGACTCTCGGCGTGGACTGTACCTCATCTCAAAACGAGGGCGGAATGCGCCCTTGGGATCAGCTGTCCTGTATGGAAAATGGTCAAACCACCAATTCCTGAACCGCACACTGCGTCAGCTGTATAGTTCGCCAGGGTGCTTGAGAATTCCCAGACAGTCTAACACGATGAAACTGCTTCAGATGTCGATTGGCTTGCACTTGGTTGGTATGGAACGTTTTGATAGATCTAGCGGCGTGTTGTGAATCCTCGCCCGCCACACCTACTCCATTCAAGGTCTTTTGCAACGATCCTATTTAGAGCTTGGCCTGGCCCGCCCAATGAGTCGCCCAACCAAACGGAGAACCCTCCCCTTTTGGCCACAATTCACGACCATCAAAGTGCCGTTCATGACCAAGGAGTGCGGAACCGCCGAAGCAGCGGTTCGCAGCGCAGACGCGGGCGGCCTGCGCAGGAAGAACCTGCACCGCTGCGTTTGTTTGAGCGAGGTTTTCTCGCAGCATTGAAGAGACATGTGGGCACTTGAAGAGAGTAGAATGCATATCGGTTCCATCTGGATGTGTTTTTGTTCTTTTAGAACTAGGACAGGCATGGACAGGCACAAAGTGTTTGAGAAATCCTCTCCGGTGTTTGTTCAAGCCTTAAAAGCTCCTAGCCCAGGCGGGTGCCTAGCCTGAAAGAAGTGTTCCAGCCTTTGCTGAAAGAATCGCATTGGCAACGTCGTGGACAGCGGAAAAGATGAATGGAACATAAGGGAACAAAGATGGGGGGGCGTTGCGAGCTACAAACGGTATACCTCAAATATTCTCCATAGGTGATTCTGAAAGAATCAGACATACCAAATGTTGGCAGCCTGCATCGCAGGCTTTGGGTCTTGGAACCAAACAAACAAACAAACAAAACAAAACAAATCTTGCAGGTCAGCTGGTGAGGTGGAACCTTCTGGCGACACGGGTGTATATACTGTGTTTTTGATCCATGTCATGCCCAACTGAAATGATCTCTTAGATTGGGTTCCAAAAGGTGAGAAGCTTCAGAAAGCACAGAAATTTGACACTCAGATGGATGTTTTGTGATTAATATCAAGTGAAAGTATTCTCACTCATATCAGCTCCGCTCGGTGTTGGCGCTGGTCATTCCCTTGGACGTAGACCGGCGGCTCAAATATGTGCACGTGGCATCATGAATGAGTCAAAGGATCCATGGTTTCAGATCAAGCACTTGCACGGTTGCAGCACATTCTTTCTGCCTTGAATATTGATTGTGACAGTGTACATTGTACATCTCTCCATCTCAAGCAATCTTTCAGAGTCTGTAGAATTGATTCTGAAGAGAAGAGCACATTGCCATGGTGCGAAATCACTTGAAGCACAAGGTGGCTGGCTGCTTCGCAGCTGCCGCACTCACGTGGGCACTTTGGAAACCTATCGCCTTCGCAGCACCCAGAAGTGATTTAGAGACTTTGAAGAGAGAAGAAGTGAGAGATGAAGATGATGCGTCCGAAAGGGACTTCAGCAAAATGAAGGGCATCGGCATGCTTCACGAAGTGATTGGTGAGTATGCTCTTCCAAAGCCCATTGTGCTATCTCCACACGGGGAGGCGCGAGTGCGAGAAGATCTCGGAGTCAATGTCACCCTCGTTGGGGAGGATGCCTTCAGGGTCGCTCCGCAACATTGGTCAAAGTATCGGCCCTTTGGTCCTGTAGAAGAAATGTATTTGCGTGACATGCATGGGCAAACGGTGAGCCCCGCTGACAATCCCGGGGTTCGCGTCGAGCCCGATTTGGTGTCCCCAGACGAAGAGGAGCAGATTATGCAAGAGCTTGTGGAGATGCCTGGCATTGATCGGGTGATGTTTCCCTTGCCTTCAGGGGGATCGTTTACAAGTGGGAACAATATGGAACAATGTAATATAGCATAATTTACTACAGTATAGTTATCAGGGGATCAAACATTAGTTGTTCTCCCATGTTCACTAGGTCCCTCCAGCCAATTCGAGGATGGCCTCCAACTTTGGCTATGACTTTGCAGCCGAAGATGGCGCCGCCGCCCAGTCGTGGCGTATGACTGGACGAGATGAAGGAAAGGCCGGCTTGCCGTTGGCGCCATGGGGCTGGGGCAAGGACTTTGACGAAGGTAAACTTCCAAGTGGACTCCAAGGACAGGCTCCAAGAAGTGAAAAAGGGAGACGGTCTTCTCTTTGGCTGGGAGACAGTACAGTCTACTCTGTGCAGTCTTCGAGAACTTCCAGATTCCTTTGCAGGGTCCTCTTTGAACCTTTTGTGTACCGTTCGATTGGTGGGGTGTTGCATCTGCAGGAGTGGTGAAGAAGCTGAAGTCCTTGGCTGGATATCCACTTGGGCCCCTTCGTGACGTCACGGTGAATATCCGCTCATCTGAAGATTATCAGATGGTTCCGCACATCGACCCCCCTGCAGGATGGGCCAAACAGCTTTGTTCTATCTTTGCTCAGCAGTGCTGTGGTCACCTTTTCGCCCATTGCGAGCTTGAGACATGACGCCGAACGTTGCAATGATGATGAGTGGCTTAGCCGAAGTGTCGCCGAGCGCCCTTACCTGTTTGGCTTAGCCGAAGGGGTGCACCACCTGCCTAGGTCTTTGGGCCAGTAAGGCCGCCTTTGTTTTTAAGGGGCCGTATTCAAGGGACCCAAACACCTGACCTTACAGTACTCTTTTGTCATGTTGTTTCTCTCTTTTACTAGTGCCCAAGGAAGCTTCTAGTTACTAGAAAGCTTTATTGCTGCTAGTAGCGATGGCCTCCAACCCATTAGCGATGGCCTCCACCTAGTAGCTTGACTCTTTTACCAAAAAACCATATGATCGTATGTAGTTGGGAATGACATCATTTCTATTTTGCTCGGAAAGAATATTCGTACAGGCAGTACGCACAGCATTCCTACACTGATGATGACATTGACTGTTTGGTGCCGCGCCGTGCAGTCTATCATTTTGGAGGCAACGCGCGATACCTTTGGACTCATGCTGTCCGCCCCTCCATACCTGCATCTGATGGCACCTTTGAAAGATGGGGCACTTGGGAGAAAGTGTTGAGGAGGCAGAAGAATAGGGCAGCTATTATTTTTGCCTTTGCAGATCCACTGTGACTTGAGAGGTTTTATGCAGAAAAGGAAGCTCAAAGCACAGCTGTGTTTGGAGTGAGAGAGAGAGACGGACGGACAGGACGAACGGACAGACGGACGGACAGAAGGAAGGAAAGAAAGGAAAGAACAAGGCAGAGAGTCAACAATTGTGGGGAAAGGAGTGAAGGGACATGCTGAAGCTTTGCTTTCAGGGACACCCTCGAAGTGTAAAGCCGTCTGACCAGCCTTGGATTCCTTCATAAATACTGTCAGAGTCACGCTTTGGTTGACAACTGCTTGACCGCCGCCAGATCAGATCATTTGGCACCGTAACTTGTTGTGTCCACACTCAGAGCCAAGTCTTTGCAAGGTTTCTCAAACATACAAAGATCGTTCCGTAAACTTGAGCTATGTCTTCGGTCATCTCGCTATTAGGTTGGAGCCATCGCTCCTAGGTGGGAGGCCATTGCTAGGCCATCGTACTCGTTCTTTCTCGATCTGCTTCCGCGGCCGAACGGCGGCCCCTCCCTACGTGAAGGGCCCTTTTCGGCAGATGATGCTGAGCCAACGTGCTTGGCACCACTCGCTGCTCCTCTCTGGTGTCGCAGTCTTTGCAGGTACGGGGTTGGAACAACAGAGAAACCAGGAAGCGAAGTGAAGTGGTTGAGACTCTGGAAGTTTTTGTAGATTTGAGTTCAGCACAGCAGCCGAAATTGGTCAGGCACCAGAGACTTCAACTGGGGCCCAATTTGGCTTCCCGGATTTCCTTGATGAAAACACCACATCCTTTCCCAAAAAGATTCGTTCCATGGATGGCTGCCTTGGCTCTTTTCGCTAGGTGGGACATGGTTTCTCTTGACTTGGTGCAAGCAGCGCAAATTGGCACAGCGGGAGAACGCCATCGCGAAGATCTTTGCAGAGGTGAAAGCTCTGAACAAAGCCATCACCATGGTGTCCTGGTGATAAGTTCGTATCGCATTGGGATCTGAGGTTGGGCGGGTGAATCGCATTTATCATTTGTTGTCATACTGAGTGAATGCTCCCTCCAAGGGTTCCCGGCTGTGGGTTTCGGCTCGCTCCAATTTGGGGAGGAGTGCCCCTTCAAACCCAGAGGATCTGGGTACAAAAAGAACATGGAAAATCATGGGAACATGATGGTGCCATCCCATGATTTCCCATTATTGTTCCATGGGATGGCACCATGGAGAGAAGATTGTAGAAGATTACAAACTGGGAGACATTGTAGTTCTTCTCTTTTCCCAATTTGTAATCTTTGGGTTGCCCGATCTGGTTGCCTTCTCGCCAGAACACCTGCTGCTCTTCCTCACCCGCCGCACCGAGGTGGTCTCAGACGCCAGTTCTTCCAGCTTCAGTCGCCGCAACCTCTCCAAGTCCCTTGGATCCGGAGGCGTTGGCGGGAGCTGTTCGAAGCGGAGCTGCGATGGAAAGACGACCTTTCATAGTTGGGTCAATGTGTGACAGACTTCAAAGGGAATGGAAGCCTTTGAGTTGTCCTGCTCCTCTTCAAGATGTCTTCTCCTACTTATATTATGCCAGGAGTTGAGTAACTTGCTTTTTCTGCATGTTTGCTGTTCTGCCTCTTTGCTGTTCTTGTTGCTGGCTTCTGATTTTTCGACATCGCTTCTCTGCTTCTTGCGTTTCGTGTTTCTCTTCATGTGCGTTGTGCAATGTGCAAGCACCGTGTTCATGTTGTTTCTTGTTTGTTGTTTTTCTTTGCAAGGCAAGTTATTGCTTTTTCATTTGTTTGTTGTGGTTGTGCTTTTTGGTCTTTGGTGTCACTCGTTTGATGGATGACAGAACCCTTTGCGACTGTGCCATGATGGTGGATGTTAAGGCCCATTCTACATAAAGATGCAAAAGTGGTGATGAAACGCCCATCACCCTAGCCACAGCCAGGGGACGTCCCGTGCCACAGCATTGTGAAACATTATGCGAGATCCTCCCCAGCAGTAAATCCCCACTCCCAAAAAAAAGAGAAACCTTTATAATCCTTGATAAAATCATCCCGAAACAAATGTCAACCCTTTGATTTGTCAGCAGAAGTAAAATGATGGTTTGAGAAGTTGTCTATTAGCTGCGTGTCCTTCTTGCTGAAGGTACTTGCTTCAAAGGGGCTTGTCTCCGAGCGAGAACTTGCTGCAAGATGCCCAAGCGCTTCTGAGCCTGCTGCAAGATGATGCCAAACACAAGGACGTCTCCAACGGCTCAAGCTCTCCTGGGCCTCGAGCAATGGCTCACGCATTGAAACCAGCTGTCATTGACCCTCAGAGACTGCAGGATCTTTTTCCAGAGATCAAAGCGAGCTATGTGCAGCAACCTTTGGATTACGGGCGCAACTCAAGGTATGGAGACAACTGGCGCATCTCTTGCTATATGGTGGTGATGGAGAACTGGAAGCCTAAGATCATGCCACATGAGCCGATGCTCAAGTGTTTGGGCGACATCATGCATGAATGTGTAAGGAGTTTCGAAACTCAGCAGCGAAATGCAAGGCTTGTGAAGCAGCTATTCAGCCAGCCTGGCCTAGGTTTTGCTTAATGCATCTTAATACCTATCACTAGGAAAGGACAGTGTTTGGTGACCGGGTGGTAAAGTTTTGACCATTGCACAAGGATAAAAATTGTATTGAAGTCCCAAAGAGAAAAGCACACCATGGAAACGTTAGTCTGACTGCATTCCTGTTTGCAGAGGGGTCTATGTCCGAGTTTCTAGCTTGCTGATGCTTGCTGCCCGTCTCCATGCTGCATCCACCAAGAACGCGTCTCCGCACAAGGAAAGCTGGTACTGTACTCTGAAGGGCTTCAAGCAGGGAAGCAAGCCATTCTCAGTGACTTGCTCAGGTGGTGTGGAGGGGGGGGAAGACAGCTGGTGTGAGGTGCATTCGTTACTGGAACGACGTTCACAGGTTCCTTTGCTCACGCAACTTCCGCTTCAAACGCGTCCGTTGAAAGCTGGTGTAAAGACGTGTCACGAAGTGGACCCAAATACAAAGGCACTTGATGTGCAGGCCCATCACTAAATGGAGCCTCCTCCCCCATGCTAAACCCTGCCTTTCCCGCTTCGTAGAAGAAATTGGCCGCATCCCCATTCCTGGCCAGTTCGGCACCTTTGTTCGATGGCCGCATTTTCCACGATCCACATCGGCCTAACGGCGCACGGCCGCCGTTCGTCGATTTGAGGACACGAGTTTTCTCGCGTGAACACAATCCACTGAGGACATGGTCGAGTAAACATGAGTAAACATGTCGACCTCGATCGTTCGACCTCAAAGATCCGAGGTCATGAACGCCTTTGTGACGAAGTATCGGCCTTTGCATGGGGAGGATGAATTGCAGAAGCACATTGACACTCGGCCAAACTGGTTCTGAAGGAGCAAACACGTAAGGTTCCCGGCTGGCTGGTGTATGTCATAGGAGCCATTGTTCTGATTGCTGTGATTGGATCAATCATCTCCATGTTACTTGACAAAGGGGTAGAAACATGGGGTTCAGGCAGTCGCAGGGAGTGTTGTCAGCAGGACTCTTTGACTCTTTGTCGTTTCTTGTGCATGTTATATATATATATATGTGTATATGCAATTCTATGCATACTCCCCTCACAAATACTTAGGGAAGTGGACAGCCGCCTGTTTGGTGATCGAAAAATTGTCATCCAAGGGTGGTCGGTGCCGCTTCCAAGATGATTTCGTTTCGGGGGAACCTTGGTTCCGACTTCCTTAGGATGGAGCCAACGTGGATGGTTCGGCGATCTTGGCGCTTCCCACCGATGAGCCCTTCGAAGGAGGAGCTTTGCATGTTTGGGATGGAAAGCCCAAGCAGGAGCTGGTTTACAAAATGGCGCCCGGTCGACCTCTTAGCTGACTTGACATCAGGTTGAACGAAATGCAACAGCCGAGAGTGTCCAATCTCGCAACAAAAAGTCCCCTGCTTTCACTGACTTGTCAAGATCCGTTCTGTTGGAGTTGGAGATTGGTTTAAAAAAAAGTGAGACTGCTCCAGTACTGTGTGTTTATATCACAAAAAAGAAACTCGGATTTTGCAAATGTGAAGCAGCGATCTGTGTCGGCTTATGGAAAATGATTGAGCGCCATGTTTATCTCCTCACGTTCACCGTTTTGTTTGTTATTCCGAAGATCATTTGCTCCTACTATATAGTAGTAGCGACGCCAGGAGCCAGGAGTAGCTTCTTGTTTCTAGTAGGGAGCAGCCCCTAGTAAATGTCCGTTTGAAGATGTTTGAAGTCTTGGATTAGTCCTGGCTCTCTCTCTCTCTCTCTCCCTCTCTCCCTCCGACGTGGGCACCATAAGGCGCTACTTTTGGAATTAAAAGAAGAGCGCCGCCCGCTGCGCAGACGCCGACGGTTTTTCAGCTGAGGTGATTGCATGTTTATGGATACCAAGATCTGGCATCAGGCGAAGCCCATTACTTCAGGCACTCGCTGGGCCCTGGTGCTTTTCCTAAAATCGGAGAAGCCCACATCTGCAGACTGACGAAGTCTTCCGAGGCTGATGTGCAGACTCTGTGGAAGTGGAAGTGGACTTGACAAAAGAAGTCCGATGGCGGGCAGCAGGGGAGGTGCTACGAGGTGTTATCAGTGTGGGTACGTGTACATGAGTTTGTTCAAGGACATACTCCATTGCTTTGGTATGTACTTAGTGAGAATGCAGTATATATAATGCAGCCAGGATGGTGCATCGCTTTTGCTCTAGTAGACTCTAGTCTATTGATGGCGAGGGCAAGCAAAAAAATGGCAAGATAGCAAGAAAAACACGAAGGTTGGTACACACACCCAGGACCAGCAAGCCAACACTGCAGCTGCTAAGTGACCGACAAAATGACCAACCAGTACCAAGCCAATCGATCACCAACCCAGTAAGTCGCAGTCGTGGCGAAGCCTGTCGCTGTTTTTCATGACAATATGGTACCGACCACACTGTGCTGCTACGAAAGCCGCAACTTCGCAAGCTGACCGCCGCTTTTGTACACGTATGTGAGTGTGTGTGTGTGTGTGGAAGCCCCGGAATCACCGCTGTTCGACTTTGAGCTTCTGTGCTTCACATTGGTGACCACTTGTCTTCTCCACTCAGTGACAGGGGGCACGGCGACCGTTCACCTGGCCCTTCTAACAAAGCGCCGTAGTTCGGTTGGAATACGTTCGACTGGCCCACATTCGGACCGGATCCGGTACCAGAGTAGGAGCTTTATGGCGAAGTCAATGATATGTCAATGTATTTTAGCTCTAGGGAGCAGCGCGTAGTGCAGGTTTCAGGTTCCCAGGAAGCAACTCTTAGTCTGCCCTTTTTTCCCTCTTTGTCGTCTATGGCTGCTTGGGCTTCAAGCACAGAAAGGTAGGTCTTGTCTCTCTCCATTTTTGTGTTGCCAAGTTTGCCTGCTTGGAGGAGGGTTGCCTTCCAGGCTTGTTGTGCTTCCTGCTTCTGCTTCTTCTTCTTATTCTTCTTCTCCTTCTTCTTCTTCTTTCCTCGTCCTGTTTTATATGCGTTTCTCGGAAGCTTCTACAGTAGGGATCCTGCCTACTCATGTTTTCCGAGCTTTCTGCGGGGCCTTGGCATTGGCACTCCGACTGTAGGTGCTACTTCTCGAGTGGGTTGCGCAGCTGCCAAAGCTAATTGCTCAGACTTAGATCAGCTGAATCTCATTGCCGGCGCAGTAGAGAGATGGATCAATATATTGCATGAGTCCAGGCCCGGGCAATGTGAAGATGTGTCCAGAGTTTTCCCGGTTGAAGATGCATCTTCAAATCTTTGAATCAGTGACAGACTACTTGGTATCCCCTTTTGGGGGGCGATCCCAGTATGCGGGACACAGAACAGGGGCATGAAGTTGGTCCCTTGCAATTCACCAACGCCGTCAGCCGAAGAAACCGTCCGAAAACGCCATCAGTTCATCGGCCGGGCCTCGCCATGGCTCCCAAAGCGCTGAAACCTGCGCTGAAGCCACAGTCGCGGAGTGACCGAGCCGCCAAGATCGAGCTGTGGGCCCTGGTGAGTTCCAGCGTCGTATGGGCTTGAAGCTTGGACCGGTCAGGCGGCTTGAGACCGGTGTTCCGAACTGAAGGATGGCTTGACGTGCGTCAACGAAGGCATCACGTTCCGAAGGTAAAGAAGCCCCATTTCTTTGGCCCCTTTCCAGTGTCTCTGGAAACTCGAACCAGTTAATTCGTGTCAGCGTCAACGAGTTCTCCAGTTCATCCGATTTGATGCTGATCATTGGACGAAGGTCCAAAGAGATCGGGGCCCGTTTAGTTGGACGGCCTATCATTTCTGGGACGCCACCGGTATTCTGACTGCTTTCAAGGGTGTGCTACAAGTTTCTGCTCTCAAGATGCCTTGCAGCTGCTGTTGTGCTCTCAAGATGTTTTCTGGAATCTGTCCGACGGTCCGATGTTTGTCAGCTAATCGTCGCTTAAGAGGATCCAAGTGGACTAGCTGACTAGCTCTTCTCAAGGTGTGTTCTGTGACCTGACCTGTTCTCGTTTGTCATGTCTTCCAGCCAAGCAAGTTGGAATTCACACCTTGAAGGCAAAGAGACTCCAAGAGGACGCAGCCAATGATTTCTAGATCACGCTGAGGCGGGCAATGGATTGTCGCGCCGGCCTTGCCGTATTTTGCCATGGCCAAAGGCGCCGGCCCTTCGAGTGGGGATGATCGAGTGAACGCGAAGGGGCCGATGGAGTGCATGCGGCCTGGGTGCCTAAGGGGGTCACAAGTGAACCTCGAAGCCCTGCATGAGGGGCATCCGAAAGTCCTAGAGGTAGACTATGGAGGGGATCCAAAGTGAGAATGATCAAAGCGTATGCCTCAGCAACAGGCTCAACTTGGCCAAAATTTGGTTCGAGAAATCTAGTGCGCGGCTCGGACACCGCATGACACCGCCCTTCTTTGCCTAGAAGTCTGGTTTTGTTATTTTCTGTGTGGTTTCAAGTTACAACCATGGCCAATCCAGACGCCCATGGCCAACCTTGTGATTCTCCAATCTTGCGAGGCTGTCATGCGTTCCACTATGCCATGATCTCATCTGCATATGCTGCCAGCCAACTGATCAGCTCCCCGATCTTGGGCATTTTATCAGATCGAGTTGGCCGAAAGCCTATTCTTCTCGGTGGCCTAGCAGCCACATCCGTGGTGTGTCTTGGAGGGCAAGCAGAGCTTTGTCTGGTTACGCTCCGAGTCACTACTCTGGAAGTGGAAAACCTCCCTGTTCGTAAAGGAAAGTAGTCTTCCAAGGGACCATGAATTTTGAATGTGGATCGTGGATGATCAATGGCACTTGGAGTTGTGCAGTGGAAGAGAGGCTTGCCATGGCTTGCCGTTGGGCGTTTTCCCCACCGAGCTTCACCGCTTACCATAGAAGGTGCCATCGGAACGAGTATTTGTTGTATGGCTTGTATTGGTAAGGGCCAATATCTTGAACTTACCAATACAAACTGTGCAAGACATCACCAAATTGGCCCATTCCAATGGCCTCGGAAAAAAGACTCGGATGAGACTGTGTCAAAGATGTCACAGGTTTTGTGGAGGGTACACCGGTGGAATTCCAAAAGCACTCGAGGAGCTATTGTTTCAGCGTCACAACTTCTTTTGCCAGGTACTTGTTGATGGCCAGGGTGGAAACCGTGTTGCAATTGCTGCTGGCACGAGCCACTCTGGGATTTCTGTCTGGCGCTGCTGCAGTGGAAGTTGCCTTCGTTGCAGACTTGACTTCAAAGTCAGATCGAGCAGACTGGGTCGCTTGGCTGGGAACAAAATGAAGGCCCTTGAGGCTTCAAAGGAAATCTTAGTCCAGGGCCGAACTTGATGCCCCTGCAATCTCTTTGTCCTGTGGTATTGTCAGTCAGAAATGCCGTCAGGCGGTCGTGTTTTGCGAATCCAAGGTGAACTTGCAAACTAGAAGCTTGGATCAAGCGAAGACAACATGTGTTTGAATATTATATATATATTACATATATACACATGTTTTTATAATATATATATATAGTTGGTTTAGTTGGTGCCAATCAACTCGCTACTGCAATGTACAGGGACCTGTTGCCAATTGTCTCCATCGGAGTCGGAGCTTTCAAGGACTACAATCAGCGGGGTGCCTTCTAGGGCCTGCCATTGGTGGTATGGTGGCACCTTATTCAAGGCTGAATAACAATGTGGCTTGCTTGAAAAATGATGCACCTTCTTGCCAGCCATGTCATTTCTGCAGTAATGAATTCTACAAGAGGTGCTGAGATTCTGCAGGAGGTGCTGGCAGGTGGAAGATAGGATGGCCTAGCCATCAAGGATGGACTTCCCATTCTGTTGCGTATTTTGACTGACCAGCAGGAGAATCAGGGCCTTTCATCCCTGCTGCGAGCAGGCTGAAAAATGACACAAAAAAAACTGATTCTCCACTGATGCCAGGGTGTTTTGAAAGATTGCTTGGACCGTATCCGAACAATCAGGATCTTGGGGGGCTTCTGGAGAAACTCAGGTCATGACTCACTTCGAATTTGAGCACCTTTGTTATGCCATTGCTGTTTTGGTCATGCTGAACTTCCTCATAGGCACCAATGAACTTGGCTTCGCGCCGCGAATTTTCGAGGGTGACACTTGTGAAATCTGGTGAAACTCGTCATAGCAAGTCCAATGGTGACGCATTCGACCCACCATTGGTCATTTGTTGCTGTTTCTCTTTGTTTTTGCTGATTTCTTGGTGTGAAAGATGGCACCCAGCGCGGCTGGTCAGTGTCTTTGTTTTCGTCTGTTGCGGCGGACGGATGAAGATGGCGCCCCGATTCAGGGCCTTTGGCCTTTGATGGTTGAACAGTTCAGATCGCCGAACTCTTGTTAGTTTGTCTTGTGAGGTTTGGTCCAGTGTCACCCTTCACGTTCTGTGCCCAAAACGAACGTTTGACACATACCAGAGATTCCTTTGTTGCAAACAAGATATCAAGATACAACATGATACAACTAGCCTTTGTTGCTACATAGATATAGAGAGGCCCAAAAATGAATAGAAGAGCTCGTCCGGAACTGTTTGTGTTTGGTCGTCATGTCACAGCCGATATCAGAGACCTCTTCCATCCACACCTTTTTGGGTAAAGAACCCGCACCTTAACGAATAAAACGAATGAAGCCAACCAGAAGAATGAAGCGGACCAGTAGAATGAAGCGGACCAGTTGAAGCACAGTCGACTTGAAGAGAGGCTATGTGATTCCACGCCATTCGGCAAGAGACCAACTGAGCCCATGAAACATGGTGTCCGGAAACAGCTGCGAACCACGTAGGAAGCGATTCTTCAGCGCAGGTATCCGATTCTTCACCACCCCTTCCTTTCACAAGGCCAGAACGGTTTTGCTCGGTTTCAAGAAATCGGACATCGTTCAACTCTTGCACCGATGTCAGAGTTGATCGGCTTTTTCAAGCCAGGTTGCTGCGCATGTCCCAGATGACCTACGACCGCGCAGACGTCCGCGACTCAGTTGGAGATGAGTGGAGAGGTACTGCCCGACCTTCTGACTGAGACCTACATTTCCTGAAGGGAACGACCGCGATTCTCTTGGTGGTTTGCTTTTTAGTGACTTGGATGCAGTGCGAGCCAACTCGCGACTCTGATCGCCTGGTAGAATCTCTGTGTGTGTGTACTCATGTCAAGTCGCTTGTACAAGTGTTGGCTAGCAGAAAATGTTCAAAGATGTTCAAAGGCCGTGTAGCTTTTCATGGCTTGACACCACAACATGTTGGTCCCATCCACGGATTTCAGGCTGTACGTTGTATTAGAAAGGACCACTTGCTGGGATCAGGACACGTGATCGCTGGATCCACCGATCCTCGGTTCCAAGAAAGGAAGATCCCAGATTCTTACGACCAAAATCCCAGGGTGGCTTCCATTTTTTGCCAAGAAATGTGCCAGAAAATGTGCCTCGAGGCTTGACAGTGACTTGACTACGCCTCATTGACTTGAGCACCGAAGGTCAATGGACAGAAACAGACTCACTGGCCAGTCTGAAAGGAGCACAGCTTGTGCCCCGACACCGGTAGTAGTATATATGCAGGAGTTATAGTGTTTGCTTAAGTCTTAGATTGGTTTACTGATGCGCAAGACCTGCCAAGGACTCGTTTTCTTTGGCCACTTGATTGAACTTGCCGGGCAAACATCGGAGAGTGGCCATCAAGAGAACGGTGAGGTTCCTTCTCGGCCATCGGTACACGGTACATCACGGTACAGATCAGCTCCTGTGCTCAGAGAGAAGATCTCAGAAGAATTTGGGCTCTTGGCCGTACTACTAGGAGCAAGGACGCTACTAGGGGCTCCTGGCCTTACTACTAGGAGCAAGGACGCGTTGGGGATGGACTTGTGGAGTCGAGTGTGTCGCCTCAGATCTCAGATGCACAGGTGTCAACCTGCTATCTTGCAGCTGCAACTTAGGCAGTCAGTGATGGCCCAGAAGCCTATTTTCTGCACCAGACCTTTGGCTTCGAAGCACAGCAACAGGCGAAAGAAGGAGGTGACCCAAGGTCATCACCAGGAATTTGAGCCTCCCAGTCATCAACAGCCTTTGTCCAAAGATTTATAAAGCCTATTCTTACTTTCACCATCTTGCACCTGTGGTTTGTTCCTTTTTGTCGACACGCCTAACTTGTCATAGCGGCTTTTCTGGTGGACCTGGGTTTCCTTCAAAGCGTTGCATTGCACTCCTTTGAGCAACGCAGCCGTGTTAAAACCTGCCAAGACACTGAAGACGGAATGTCACTGCTTCATTTGGTTCGTTGGCATTGAGCGAGTGGAAGTGAAACCATCTCAGACTGGCAGGCCACGTTTATGATGACCTGCTCTGCTTCGAGCTTGCTTTGGGGAGACTTGAAAGCAACAAGTTGGTTCATAGTATGTATAAGCCCAAACTCAAAGGCTGAATTAAAGGCCAAGTAGAAGAGAAGAACGACGGGCCTCTTTCATAAGGCCCAAATTAGAAGGGGGGCTTTGTCGAAGTGGCCAAAACACCCTTTTCTTATCTTTGTTATTCTCTTGTATCCTCTTGTATATAAACTTGGACAGGCGTAACTTTACTTACATTACTATACATATATATATATCATGTAGCCACCCCCCAAACCTATTACGCTTGGAAGCAGCAGAGAAGTTGGACGTCTTAGGGTCATGCATCGCCTTTTCCGGATGTTGAAGTCATGTCATTTGGCGAGGCCGACCGTTGGCCAACCACCCATTGGCCAACCACCGTTAAAACAGTTCAAACCCGAAAAAAACGCGGAACGTGGTGTCACCCCTAGGCTGGTTGGCTCCCCATGTGATTGGTTTCTTCCGGCCCAATGTGCTTTGCACTGTCTCGTCCATGGCGACAGCCGCGGCCATGGCCACTGGGCGTTTTCCGACTGGGCCCCGCGCCGGCGTCAGCCGGTCTCACACAGTGAATGTAGCTGACACGGTCTGCACGATGGACATGCAGCTTCTTCAAGTCACGGTCTTCACATGCTGTAGAGTTTGTGGAAGTGTCACAACTGTCGAAGTTTCCATCGAGTTTGGGGAAAACGAAAAACACAAGATTGAAATACATCTCCCCCCTGCCTCTTCAATTTGGGAGCTTGACCTTGTTCGCTCAGCCACTGAGGGCAACGTCTCTGAGTCTCTGATTTTGGTTCTTTCATACCATGTTTGTTCTCGTTTGTTCTCCCCAAATCCCAGGTGCTCATGAGCACGGAACGATCTTGGTGGACACCATATCTCTACGCCACTCTCTTTGGTTGCACTGCCACCATTGTGGAAGTGGTCAGCAAGACCAGTTTGGTCGGGCAATTGGTGGCTGAAAAGCATCAGGTGCTGGACTTCATCCGGACTGTTTTTCGTTGCGCGTTTGAGTTCTGCTTTTGTTGGCCGGTCATGGATTTGAAGTCTTGAAGGTCGCCTCACAAGGTATATCAGAAATGGAACGCCGAAAAGGCCCGCCTGCTTTGTGATGTCTTTTGTCCGAAAAGGCCGCCGTCTATGGAATGGAACGTGGGCTGCTCAATCTGGGCTTTTCCATGGGACCACTGGTGGGAGGAGCCATCTATGAGGATTCTTTCGGCCACTTGGCCAGCGTAGGAGTCACAGAAATTTGTGGCTGGTCTGAATGTTGATAGATAGGGTTTGTGGCACAATCTGGTGAACCAAGGCTGCAAAGGGCAAATGCTTGAAAAAGCTTTGCCATGTAGATGGGACAACTTTGGGACAACTTTGCCCGCACTTGACGATGGCCGAACTTGAATAGGTTCACTTGAAACAGGATTAGAGGAGTCCAAAAGCAATTTTTCATGAGGCTCCCTCTACCTTTGGTGCTCAATTGGACCCTTCGGCCCCGAACATGGCAAAGGAGCCTTGCGTAAGCCTGTTGCCCAAAGGCTCTTCAACAAGTGTCCTTCAATCCACCCAACATGGCTTTCAGAAGTGACCAAGTCTTGCCTTTGAAACGTAACTATCTAACACTTCAACTGGCTGTGAATGACTCTGCCTGATGCTCGCCAACCAAGTCCTGTCACCACTGGGTGTCCTGTTCCTTTCCAATTCTCCAGTCCACCTCCCGTCCTCCTTCCGTCGGGGGTCTTCAGTCGTCCCAGGTTTGCCATACACGGTCTCGGCGTGTTGCCTTTGCGTCAGCAGCCTGGTGTATCTCACGTTGCCTGGACGCCCGGGACCCGGAGGCGCGCTGCGCTCGGCGTGCTCGGCGCGCAGAGCGCCGCCGCGCGAAAGGGCGGTTCCGGAGGGTGGACGAACAGGACAGAGGTTGACACACATGTTGATGTACTCGTACTTATCAATTGACACGATATTATCATACATTATATATGGAATATGGACGTACTTGCGAGGTACGAGCAGGACCTTTGATGGTGGCAAATATCAGCGGTATAGCTTGCAGCAGTACAAACGCAGTATAACAATGAAGCTCAGGTCGAATGAACATGTTAAGAAGTCCTTATACCCGCAGCGTGGAAGTCATGGGAACACTTTCCGGAGTGTTATTTTTCGAGTGTCCACGCGCCACGCTCCTCGTGTTTTTCCCCAAGCAGTTTACTGTTAGGGGTTCTCACTTCTTTCTTAAGATGTGTCCGCCCTTTCTGTCACTGCTAGTGTCCGCCCTTTTCCGCTGGCCATGCAGCATTTCCTTGTCTCCCTTCTGTCTCCCTTTGTCTCCCTTCTTGTTGATGTCTCAAAAAGTGGACTTGGGAATGCTTCGTTGTTGTCCCACGTGTCTGGGGTCAACGGTGCTGTAAATTGTTTTGGTGAGTCGACCGGACCGCTGCGGTGTCCCGCGCGACGCTCGATCTCGCGATCTCTTGGGATCACCCGGTACGATCGACCGGGCCGCTCTCGACGTGATGTCGGTGATCGACGTGCAGGTGAACATCTTTTGGAAGATATGGCAGATGGTGATGGCCGAGAAGCTTGGGAACACATGGGCAATCAGGTGAGCCGTGAGCGAACATGAGTTGGCCGTCGGTCCTTTTCGATGTTCGCAGGCGTTACCCTGTAGCTGTTCTACAACAACCTGTAGGGCTGTAAAGATAGGTCATAGGATATGCACCTGAAACTGATCTTGGGAAGCTGAATTTGGTATTATGGCAGTGAGAAAGAAAGCCTGGCAGTGCTCAGGGCGCTGTAAATAGACTTTTTAGCACGGTTGTTAAGGGGTCTAAGGGTTTCAACAAAAAAGGAAGTTCCAAAACCTCTGATCTGTCATACATAATCCGTCGCTAGTAGGTTGGAGGCCATCGCTATTATATGTTCCCCACCAAACATTCGGCATGACCCTCGGGGGCGGATGAATCTGTTTACAGGCTCCGCTGCCCGCCAAGCGGTCTCTTGGCAATCAGAGTAGCGGGACAATAAAGAAAAAGAGATGATGAAAGGAAGTGGTAAGGCCTGAATAAAGGCCTCCTTCGATAACAGGTCTTTGTTCATCTCCTTTTTTCGATCTTGGATCTCTTAGTGCTTCACTGTGTAAAAAACACTGGATCAGATAGACATAAGTTTCACCACGATTCGGTTTCCCTCAAGTTGGGGTGAGGAAATGTGAGCTTTGACCCCAAAAAATTCAATGTAGAAAAACAGAAGTCTAAAGTGAGCCATGCGTAGCCATGCAATTTGGGCATAGCCATGGGCCTTCGTAGTCGCCACAGCGAATTCCTCGTGTACCGTTTTGAACTCCTCCGGGTGGCGTGGGGCCCTGAGGATTGGCGCGGTGATTGCCGCTGAACGGGCTCGCCGCGTCTACTTCGTGTGTCCTGAGCTCTACGAAGCCTACCAAAACAAGAAGACCCTGGTTCGGCGGCACTCGGGCGGCGAAGTCCGAGGTGGGGATAAACGTCGAACGTCGAAGGCGCGACGACCACCGGATGAAAAATAGACCCTCCGGCTGGGTATCTACGCAGTTTGTCCTTTTGTTGGTGCCTTGAGGGTCAGTCATGAGTCGTGGTCCAGATTGAATGAATCTCCAACGCTAGCCCCATGTAAGTGTTCCTGCTCTGGCTGGAGTTGAAGACCATCAAAGTTCAGTGGCTGATCGCTAGGCGCATGTTGCTATACAATTTACTTATGCATAGTAATAGTAACATGAGACCTTCTTTTCCAGGGCATAGGAAGAAAAAACGAAGAACGGCAAGTAAACATATATGTATATATATATATACAAAAAGAATCGTTTTGCTGCGCTTATGAAGAGAAATGGAAAACAGAAACAATGTCATCCATGCAATCACGTTTGACGGTGTGCCGTTCCAGACCTGCAAGGTAGCGGCTTTAGCGGCTTGGGCCTGGGCCAGCGGTCCAACACTATCGGCCACCTGGAAGTGATGATGCCCTTTGTTACTAGTTACTAGTAGCTTCTTGTTACTAATAGAAATGCCAGGAGCTACTAGTAGCGTCCTTGCTCCTAGTGGCGATGCCATTTTGTTACTGGTGAAAAAGTTCAGGGGTTGAGACATCAAAAGGCTATTCATGTATCAATAATCAACTTTGGGTTTGATTACGACTGTGTGCTGTTGCATTTGAGAAGTCTCAAAAATTGCCTCAAAAAAAGCACATGCAGGGTGCACCAACGGTGTGGAGCAATGCTGGCCCTGTGTTTCCTGGAATTTCCCCCCCATGGCCCATGGTTTTGCGTTGAAGGGTTTGGGCGGTTTTTGTGGCTATGTGTATGTTGAGTACTTGCGTTTGGATGTGTCTCGAAGACGGGAAAACCCTGTAGACTAAAACAGTCAAGACGACATTGGGTGGGGCCAAAAGCATTGGTAGTTGGGGTTGGAGGTCTACCCCATTTTTGAACAGCGTCATTTTTTCAAGGGGCTATCCATATATTTCTGTGTTGAGTCGCTCAGCTATTCGTCAGGTTGGTGGTTTTGCACTGAACTATTGAAGGACTTCCCTTGAGAATACTGTGGGGAGCAAAGGCTGGACTCAGTGCACTACAGTACAGAGACGACTGGCAGGTGCAAGTTTCGGTACGACTGCTGGTGGGATTCGTACACAGCTTGATCGATTTGGGGGCTTCAGATTGATAGCCTTGCACACGTACGCAGTTCTTGGTACGTTCAGCGATATCCCCGGACACCTGTTTTACAAAGAGCTGTCCAGGATTGCACCATTTTAGAAACGTCGTTCCCATTTTCACTGTTCCAGCTCCTTTCACTCATCCAATGCTTCATCGCCCCAACCCACTTGCCTGAGGTGAACCGCTGTCTCACATTTTAGGCGAACGGCCTTGGGACCATTTGTCGGTGGATGATGGAGGCATCCGATATTCGGACCCAGACCTCACCAAATCCACGCCGGCGGAGTCCAACCGCTCAGTCGACCTCGATGGATGAAGCCATCGAAGAATCCCAATAAATCCCTGTCTCCGCTGAGCCGATGGATGATATCATGGCTCCTGTAGAAAAACCGGAGAACCCCCCCGGAGAACCGGGGGGGGTCGTCGGATTGTTGAAAAGGCTTTTCTTGTACAGCAAACCATTCATGCAGAAACCCATGGATTTAGTAGATCAAAAGGGAGATGCTCGTGCGCAGGCTTCAACTCCTGCGAGTGTTTGTTGAAGGGTTGGGGCATGCATCCGGAAAGGTATCCTAGTTTGTGCTACGACTACATCATGTTGTTGTTGATCAGGGGGCTTGATATGAGGGCGCAACCCTACTTTGTGTGCATCTGGATTTGTGCATTGTAATGGTGACCCTATCTTCAAATTGTTGCACAGTTGCTTTGTTTGCTTTTATGTAGCCTCAGTGTGGCCTTCCATTATTTGCATAATCGCAAATCAAGCTGGATCAGGAAAAAGAACACCTGTTGGCAGAGCAAAGTACTCACAGCATGAGAACCCTGTCATTTGGGCGGTTTCATGCTGGGTTGATCAAACTTGATTCGTTGATCGAGTGCTGACCTTACCTTGCAGGGGCCATCAACTCTGTTCTCGTTCTCTAACTTTGGTTTCCTCCAGATTCTAGACTCGTTCAATGATCTTCTCTTTCGGAGCAATATGCACAAAGATGGAGGTGTTGGATATGTTGGATGGATGTCTTAAATAAAACACGCTCGAGGTTAGAGTCCCTGCTGTCCAGTGAGCTGACTTTTTGGACCCTCGTGACTGGGGGAGACTCGTCCGGCACGGCATGGTGCATCAAGACCCGGCCCGCAGCAGAGTGCTCCAAAAGCAGTGTCCGTCACAGACATGGGCGGAAAGATGGAGCCGAATTGGACCGTGTCTGGACGAAACGTGAGGAGGAGGACCTTGTTCTCTTTGGATTCTTTTGGGGGATTGTACATCCATGTCATTGCATGTTTGCATGAATGTGCATGTTTAAGGCTGAGACTTCACTCCTTGCAGATACTCTGCTCTTCAGGTATACCTTAATAACTTAATAGCAATGGCCTCCACCCTAATAGCGATGCCCTCCTCTTCAGGGATTTGGATGGGATTGTCACCTCAAGGGCTAGGATGAGGTTGCAGTTCTTGCCCTGCCGCAGGGGCTTCGAGTGGTGTGTCTGAAAAGAAGGGGCTTCCTCCAGCCTGAGCTCCGATCAGAGAATCATGGGCTCCACACCTTGGCTGATGGTCCCTATTCACCATTCAAACATTAGATACCAGCATGTGATGCAGGAACATGTGGAGTTGTGCTTCATGACAGAAGAAAAAATGAAGGTTTCATGAGTAGTTGGCAAGGTATGAAGTGAGGCCAGAAACTGGGTTCTAGCCAGCATTGATTTGCTACTCTTTCCATCCAGTGTTGAGAGATGTTGAGACAAACCAATAAGGAGGTTCCTGGTTTCGATGTGCTGTTCAACCCCTACCTGGCGATGATGAATCCTCGACTCGTCTCATTTCCGGTGACTTCCATCCACAAAAGAACGAAGCCGAGCGCAGAGCAGCGTTTGTTTCCGGTGACTTCGCGAGCCCCATCTTTTTAGGCGGTGAGCGGCTTGCTGGGAGCCATCGGTGTGGCGTGTGGGGCCTTCGGCGCGCATGGTCTCAAGAACTACACCAGCGATCCCGCGCTGCTGGAGTCTTGGAAAACGGCGGCGTCGTATCAAATGCTTCATGTGCCGTGGAAGCAAATCATTGTTTTGGCCGTTTAAGTGGAGATGAGTTCAAGATGTTCCCAGGATGCTTTTAGCTCCACAGGAGGCTTTCGGGTAGATGTGAGGAATTCATCAGCGTTTTGACAAGTGTTTAATTAAGTATATACAGCTGGTACATGACTTGAGGTTCCCCCCTCAGAGGTTAAAGTTGTTTGCAGGGCATTTGTACGTACCGTACAACCAATCGTGCTCCGCGCCACAGCTTCCAAGGCAGTGATGATAGGCTTGTCAGCAGCTCTTGGGAAGAGCCATGCTCCAAAGCTCTTCTCACTCGGTTGTCTATTCTTCAGTGGGAGTATCTATGGCTTGGTGTTGCTACCCAAAACCAGTGGCTTTCGGAAGATTCTGGGTCCCGTGACTCCATTGGGAGGGCTTCTCTTCATCGCCGGTTGGCTCAACATGGCTTGGAACTCTTGGTCTCGCCCAAACCACAAATGAGCGATGAAGACACA